CTCACAAACATCCTAGGAGCTAGGTATTATTATTGCCATCTTACAAATGAGGAAACTAAGGCATGGAGAAGTTAAGTAGTTCATCTAAAGATAAGCAGTTAGTATGTGGTGTGAATCTGGACAAAGATGGTTTAAGATCATTATTTAGGTTAGGTATTAGAGTGCGTTAGATGTCAGAAGTTTTGCTATAGTATATTAATTCATAACTCCACCTTAATTCTCTGGGCCATCTTTTACATTTTAGATTCTCATATATAATTTTTTTCTTTTTTGGTGCTGGTGTTTGAACTTAGGGCCTCATGATTGCCAGGCAGGTGCTCCATCACTTGAGCCACTTTGCCAGCCGCTAGATTCTCATACTTACCGTGCTGTACTAGACCTTAGAATCATTTAGACTTTTGCTTTCCAAATTTATCTCTCTTTTCTTCCTCTTAAAGTCAACAGTCTTTTTGTTGCTAAGCGGATTGAAACTTAGTACTGACTTAGAATGCTTTGCCTCTTGTCCCTTAGTTATCATATAAACTGTAGATAAAGTTTACTTTCTTCATATTCTACAGTGACCAATGAGTCTCATAGAGGGAGCCCAATATTCATTGAGTTGCTGTGTTACAGGGATGTGAAACATGTGCTGGTAGATTTTAATATTCCCTCTTTGGAAGCTGAAATTTAGATAGAAATTAGGTCCTAGGTCATAGAGGGTTGGAATTCCCATCTAACCTTTTTAAAGGTCTTACTAACCTGAGAAATGGAAATTACAGTGTCCTGCCAGAGCCCCTTCAGTTGAATCTTGCCTCTGGCTGTTGACTTAATTAGGAAATTTCTGAGAACTTGTAATTAGTATGGCATTGTTTACCATAGGTGTCAGTGGAAGAGTGACTTAGAACAGACACTGAAAGGCTTTCTTATTGGTCTGCTTGGGCTGCCATAACAAAACACTATAGATTGGGTGGCTGAAAAAACACATTTATTTCCACATTTCTACAGACAGGGAAGTCCAGCTCGAGGCGCTGTGAAGGCCGCTGGCTTATAGATGGGTATCAGGTGATGGAGAGGGCCAGGAGGAAAAGCCATAGGAAACCTGGGCTAAGGATAATTGCTAGTATTAAACATAAAATTTAGATCTGAGCTTTCTGACTGTCAGGACAAAAAAAGGAAAATATAATGCTATATATTTCCCCTTATCCATTAAGTTATTTGGGAAAGAAGCATTTTTTACCCTAGTACTAAATGCAAGAAGGAATTTATTGGGTGGGTCATAGACATAGAAATTTTAAACATACTGTTTAGATGACCATCACTGGTCATACTGTTTAGATGACCATCACTGGCAATAGCAGTGATTTTCCTTTTAAACAAAAGAAGCACTGAAGTTCTCTGTGTCAGTTTATTATAGACTTAGTGAAAATTAAAGTGATAACAATAAGTTACATTTCCATGAAGTATTTCTTTGGATAACTCAAAAAAGTGTGGAATGCAGCCATGTAACTCCTGGGGATTTATTTACTTTTTAATACCAGCAATACCACAAACGGAAATGAGACGTGTCAACCCAAGGAAAGATCAACACCTTGGTAATGAACCTAAGGAACCTCTTGCCTCTGGTTTCCATTGGCATAAGTATATATAAGTAGCTGTTCTTTTGCTGGAATTACTCACTGAAAGTGAATTGAGATAGAGTGACTTAAACAGAGAGCTTGACAAAAGGTAAAGCTATCCTTTCTCAGCCTAAGCACATAATCCTATGGGAAGATTTATTTTACTTGAAATGGGAGTCAGGAATAAACAAGTTCCTGAAATGTTTTAGAGTCCCTGTTCCTGAAGCAGTGCATGATGGATATATCACTGAAAACATACTACCTCATGTTAAGGAGTTATGTATGTTGTTCAAAAATAAAGACAAGATCCTGTTTAACATTTTAATTGCTCCTATTTTACTTCACATTACTAACATTTAATTTCCTGGATTTCTAACCCCTCTTAAAACTAATCAACAAAATACATAGAAATCCTTAAAGCAAGACTATCTTCATATTATTTCTAAATGTGCTTTAGAATTATGCTGTTAGGTCACTTCCTCCTTTCCTTTCAATACATGGATTTTCTCTAATCCTGGGCATTGTAATGTAGTATAGTAGGCCTCCAACTTTTGATCATGACTCATGGTAAGATGCTTTACTTCAGCTTCAGTGTAACTGAAGCAAAAGTTGCATGAAGCATTTCTTACCCTTCACACGTGAGGTACATTCTGATGCTTTGCTTCAAAAAGTGATAGCCTCCACTTCCCAGAAAACTGATTTCATGGTTAATGGAAATGGATCCTTGTTGGCATTTAAAAAAAACACCAACCTGATGCAGAGAATGGCTGACAAGAAATAAGGGTGCCTTGTCCCAGGGGGCCTAATACTATGTTTTTCTATTAGTGAAGGGAAATTAAATGCCTTAAACCTCCTCCAGACCCTGTTTCCTCATCCATAAAGTGAGGGGTTAGACTTGGCCTTTAGGATGCTCTTTACCTTTAACTTTATTCTAGGTCTCTCTTGTACTTGATGGAAAGCTCTGGATTCAGAGTGCAATCTCTTAAAGTGTTCAGTGGATGATTAAATCCATTCATGCCATGACAGTGGTCTCAAGTCATGAAGCTTCATATTTGCTCTGTCTAGAGATAGTTCTTTTTTTTTCCCAGTGGGACTGGGTTTGAACTCAGGGCTCACCCTTGCAAAGCAGGTGCTCTACCACTTTAGCCATACCTCCAGCCCGGCCACGAGCTAGTTGTTCTTTAGCCAGCTGCAGTTGTATCACAGTAACAATTCTCTAGTTGTAAAAGCTCTAATAAGATATTTTCTTCACTACTCCTTCCACTTTTTAGAATTCTTATTTGTGTTCATATTCATGCATGTGTTAGTGGCAGTTAGGGGACTTTGATTAAGGACTTAATGGTCTATGAGAGATAGCCCTGTGTTATACATACTTGTTCTGAGTTTTCTGGAAATTTGCTTTATTCTTTTCTGTTTTGTGATTACCTTGATCTGAAAATATTCTGGACTGTGGATTAAGGATAGAGGAACAGAGTTGGTAAGATTTATAGCAAGTAGAAAATGGTTTCCTGTCAGCAGCCAGTTAAAGATGTGTGTTGATTTATCTGCTGGGTACCAGGCCCTGTGCTAACTAGTTACTTAGCACTTTCTCTGTGATTCCCTTCAGTAATAGTCTCTTGTTCTGGAGACTGGAAAATACACTTTAATATCAGCAGGGTTCTCTGTAGTGTTTGGCTTTGGTGTCTGGAGCATTCTGGATTGAAACCGACTCACCACTGGGCCAGCGAGGCCAACCTGTTGGGGCGCTGAGTAGCAGCTAATGGAGCAAGCAGTGAGGTTAGGGAGTGGAGGCTCTGTTTAAACAACTCTGATGATAGCACTCTCTTCCCAGCTTGAGCTCTTGAGAATGAGGTTCATTCAGACTTTCCCTCCAGATTGATTCCCTTTTGTTGAACCATTTAGGGATTAAAGAAAGTATTTTCTTGGCAAGGCCAAAATAAATGAGGAGTGGAAAGATGTGCTTTAGCTTGTGAAAAGTAGAAGAAAAGCGCAGATGTTGCACTCTGGCAAACTTGCCCAAGGTCACACAGCTAACAAGTACCTGGGCCACCAGGATCTGAGTCAGTTGTTAAGTGTGTGACCTTAGACAAGTTTTCCAAGTTCCAGTTCTCGCACATATAAAATGAAACTGATAATAAAAATATAAGTGGACTTCATGAGTAAAGCACCTGATGTTCTGTGGGTGGTCACTACATAGGGATTTTCTCCCTGGTGAACACAGGTTGCTTCTCTGGCATTGGGAGTCTTGAAGCTGGAGACCTGGGTTTTGGAACAATAGATCAGGGGCCCATAGCTGACGGGGAGCCACAGGGAAGAAGAACCAGCAGAGCTACAGTGCTGTAGGTGCTCCTTTGGTTACTGCCTTGGGGTGGGAAGGCATTTTTTCATATTACAAGTGTTGTGCTTTTTTATTCCATGTCTCAGAGAAACTCATATTGATCTCTCTTCCTTATTGCCAAAATTTCTCCTCTTCCTCTTTTTGATGATTGATACCCAATGACTCATTAGAGAAAAGTTACCTGAAGAGTAAGAAAGAAAAAGTAAGAGGAGAAAGTTAGATTATCATGTCCATTCCCCCTCTGTACAGTCCCAAGCACAGGCTGTTTCTTTTATTGCTGTGTTGGGGTGGAAAAGGATTTATATGATTAGAATGATGTTTTAGTATTGTTTGTAGAATTGAGATTCCTTAACCTGGGGGTCTTGTGGCCCTGTAGAATATTAATCTGACTAGGAGCTCTTTGGGCTCTGCCACAAATCATTACACATCTACATTTTGTTCTTATAAAATATGGATGATGACATGACTGTCTCTAAGGAGTTTGAGTGCATTAGCTAATAATCAGGAAACCTTAGAAACAGGAAATTTATATGACTGCCAGGAGCTTTTGTAACTATACATGTGCATCATTTAGCTTTGCATCCTTGAAAGTTGTGCTTTTAATATGAGAGCACTAAGGGCTGATTCCTGTTTTTCTAATTGTAGCAAGTGCACAAGAAATAAGCTGTAAGAGTGGTTGGGACAAGTATGTTTTCCCAGCATCTTGTGGAAGTGCTGCAGCAGCTCAGGCAGCTCAAGTGGGAGAAGAACCTGAGGTTACTATAAAGGCACTGCATTTAGAAAGTGTCAGGACCCAAGGATGGTCGTAGTGTCTATGTAGGATTATTTGTGCTCATATCCAGTCCCTATGTCCTTACACATAAATCAACTAGGAAAGTCCAGATTTCTCTTTTTCTTCTCCAGATGATTGCTTGAGGACTTAAGAAACTCTTAAAAAAAAGATGTCAAGTGATAATGTTTTAGATATCTTGAGTAGGACACAATATATTTATTGATGAAAGAGGGTCACAAATAGTAACTAGACAGGGTGCTGTTTGAAAGTTGACATTGTCTTTATTTCATTTCAGGCAGTGGAGCTACTGCTGTGGTTCAGGCTGCCCTATGCAAACCCAGGCAAGAACGTGTAGCAATAAAGCGGATCAACTTGGAAAAATGCCAGACCAGTATGGACGAACTATTAGTAAGTAAAGATGAAAGGGTTACCTACTGCTTGCTTTTCATAACCCATGGGTGTGTGTGGGTGGGTGAGAGAAGAGTAAATGTTGGTGGGTTGGCATGACCTCTCCTTTGACACATGCTTCCTCGTTCCCTGAGTAATTACCAATTCTGTAGTGCTGAATAATGTACACCTTAGTGTGATTTGTCAGAGTATTTCATTTTGGGTAGTCAGCATGACCCTGATGCTCTCAGTATTGACACTTCATTTTGTACATCGTTGGAACACATTGTACAGTATGACCTGCGGTCATGTGATTTCTGAACACAGAGCTGGATGTCACGCTTCTTGCCCTGGGTCTAGAATGTGTGACACAAATAGGAATCATATTCTCCCTTCTACCCAAACAAACAAACAAACAAACAATTTATTGGTCATTTCAACTTTCATAAATTACATTTGACTTTCTCAAATTTTACCCCATACAAAGTGGAGGTATTTTTAAAACATGCACTGTAGCTTGTATTTGGTTAATGATGAGTTTTTTTTCTTACACAGTAACTTGTATTTCTTATTTGAAATGATGTATGTTAGTAATTGGAGCTTGTCAGTGTCAATATGACTGTATGTATTGGTTGGTTAAAGGAACATTTACTTTAGGCTTAACTGACTCATTATTAAATGAACAGCTTGGCAAATGGTTATTAGTTGACCAGCAAACTGTGAAGGATTTGAGGGTTTGATCTCATAAATATAGTTGTTGTCCTGCTTGCCCATTTTTTTTAATGTGGCCATTTATTTGAGGATAATAGAAAACTGCAGTGGAGGAGTTAACTGATTGGTTATCCCAACTCTAATCTCAGTACAAATATTAGTCCAACAGCTCCATACAAGCTACAAAGTATAATGACAGTTGGCTCCAGATGAAGAAGCCTTTTGTTTTATTCTACATTAGGAATGGAATGTCATTAACAAGAGCTTTTTGTCTGTATTCAGAATATAGCTTTTATTTCAGGCTTAATTACAGTACACTATAGTTTAAATTAAGTACAAAGATAAAGCTGTAGTTTTCCAGATATGTTTGGCCTTAAATTTTGAATTAGGCTACACAATACATAGATTTTACTGGGTATGAAGGAACAGATTACTTGCTAAAGCTTAGATTAAAGCAAGGGCTTCCACAAGTTAATGTCAATTTTCAAATTTTTCATACATTTAAGGCATTTTTTTCTAAAAATTGCAGTTCTGTTTTGCTCTTATGGAAATTACTACTGTATACCACTTGTCTGTTTCTTGCTATTGTGGTGACCAACAAATAAAGACAATAAAGTTGTGTCTTTGTTATCTAACCAGTTTTTCAAGGTCACTTTCCCTGAGTGGAAAAAGCATTGAACAAACTGTGGCGAGAGTTGGGTTCTGCTTCTGCTAACTTTTTTTTTTTAACACTAGTTGAGTTACCTAACAACTCTGGGCTATTTTAAAAGAGAGCTGAATTTAAAGATTTCTGAGATCCCTTTAGGAGTCCTCAAAATCTGTGGATATACATAAGTGTACATTAGCATTTTTAAAGTTTGTAGTGTACATTTAAACTTATGCACTGTTTGAAAATATCAGCGAAGAACTTGCTCACAATGCTGTGTTTCACTGTGGTGCTATGTTGGAGGTCCCGGTCATCTTTTGGCTATCAGCAGAATATTTACACAGAATGTACATAAAGCCTGTGTGTACACTTGTGCCTGGCGGCTCTGGAACCAGCCTCCTGGGCTGGACAGATGTTGTGGTCTGGTCTCCAGCAAGCCTTCAGTTGCCCTGGACGTTCATGGTTTCCCGTTGGCAGCTTTTCATCAGCAGTTGGCTGCCAGCATGGTGACTGTATAAGGGTCTCAATGAAAGTTAGTAGGGAGACCATCATTCAGTCTCTTCCTTCTGCTCCTAGGACCAGTAAGCAGAGCCATGTTGTTTGAAGGGGTTTTTAACTTAGCTGTCTAAGAACTGGTGCTTTTATAGCTTTCGGCTTAGCTCCATTAGTCTGATTTATGAGTTTGCCTATTAGCAGTGGTTAATTTATTTCTCTCAGCCTTTTTATCTCTCTGTAATACCTAAGTTGTATAGTGTTTATGCATAATTATTTATTATTAAATTAAAATTATTTTTCATTTAAAATGATAGATTTATTTTTCATCTTTCCTTAATCTTGAACCTTTGACCTTTTAGTGTTTTTATATATTTAGAGAAGGGAGGAATGGCTATGACTTCAGGATGCATTATTCCCAGGTTCTTTTCAAACAAAAAGAAATGGAATTTAGAGTGTAGTCTTCCTAAGTTTGCCAGGCTTTTGTGGTCTGGTTTATTGACACATGAGCTTGTGTGGAGCAAAGTTACTGTCATCTTTTCAACTTCTAATACTGCTGTTGCTTGCACTTTTATTATTTCTGTGGGCTCACATTTTGGCAGTGTTTGGACATCCGGTATCCTAATAATCCTCTCATTCCATCAGTGTGCATTATATACAGGTCAGTGCACTGCATCTTCTCACAGGCTGTGCCGTGTGTTAACAGGAAACCATTATTCTTGAAGATACAGTGGCCATGAGGATCTTCAGTTTGTGAGAATGTTATGTCATAGAAGTCACAGATTATCAACTACTTGCTGCCCATTGGGACATCTGCCTCTCATGGTGAAACTGTATCGCCTCCTGGCTGTCCTTCCTGCCCTACCCCCATTCCCTGCCCTGCTCCTTGCCCTGCCTCACTTTCCACTCCTTGCCTAATCTTCATTCCTTTCTCCCTGTTCCGTCCCCATTCCCTATTCCCTGCTCATTCTCCATCTCCCCTGTCCCGTGGTAAGATGGAAACACAGAGCCACATGTGATGACACACACAGTTCTGGACAATTGACCCTAGATACAGCTTCTTTATATAGTGAAGGATCTCAGTACCTTTTCCTGTGGGCATGAAGTTGGTTCCAGGTCATCTGAAGAAGGATTCAAGTTGTCAAAGTGCTGATTACACTGTCAGCTTCTCGGAGAATAAAGGAGCAAGAGGAATGTTAGATGAGATTATTGACATTAAATAATTGATGATTTAAATTTTTACTTTTGAAATGACTATTGTAATTAAATTCCTCAAAGTTACAGATCTTAAAAGCATTCATTTATTTATTTGATAAGTACTTCGAGTTACTGCCGTATGCTTAGGCCCATAAAAAGAGTTTTGGGTGAGCATATGGGACTACCAGACTGTATGCTCATAAAAACTTGTTTTAGTTTAATAGCAGTTAGATAGGGCAAGCTGTAGCAGCGATGTGAACGGCCTTCAGTTAATACAAACCTATGCTTTCCTTTGAATTCTTTCGAATTTTCTTGTGGTTTGTTTTGGAGTTGGACCTTTAGCTGATTCTAATTTTCTCTGAGTAAAATGATTGTGGTGAGTAAGGTGGTATTGCTGGCCTGTTCTGTATAGGACTTTCTCAATATAGATGCTGTCAATTTCTGAGATTTGTTAGTTCAACATTTGTTCTTTTTTTTTTTTTTTCCCCCGTGGGATTGGGGTTTGAACTCAGGGCTTCACACTTGCAAATGAGACACTTGAACCATACTTCCATTTTACTCTGGGTTATTTTGGGATCTCACAAACTATTTGCCTGGCTTCAATCCTCCTGATCTCAGCCTCCCAAGTATCTAGGATTATAGGGGTGAGCCACTGGTGCTCAGCTTCCACATTTGTTCTTAACCCCACATTTGTCAATCCCATGGTGGAATAAATGACTGATTTTAATCATATTAACACCTCAGGGAGATATTTATAGTTTTAGATCAGGAACTTGTTAACTCCATAATTATTAAACTCTGTAAATGCTAGATACTCAGTCAGATAATGGGAAAACAAAGAGGGTTTCCATTCCTTGGGAGCCCATGGACTGGTGAGTGTCTTCATTTTTGTTTTGGGTTGGTGAGAGTTTTAGGCTGTGGATGTCTTCCTGTACTTTCTCCCTCAGTTGGCCTAGAAATGGTTTATCAGATTGGTAGACAGATTACTCTTCTCTATATGCCCTCCACTGAGAGGGTGGGGTCCTTGCTCTCTAATAGCAATTAAAGACTTACTAAGTGGGTCTGAGCCTCTGTCTTGTAGACAGTAGTCTGTGTGGAGATGGCCTTGAGGTTTCTTGAAAGAGGTTGATTCTCTGGTTTGTGGTCAGCCTGAAAGGTTAGGGATGCTACCCTAGGGCACACTTGACTTTCCTTGAAATCCATTAAATGAGTGAGGAATTAATCATCTTTTTTGAAGCCATCTGTCTTTTCAGCTTCTCTCATTAAGTGACAGAATAAACTCCATAAATTTGATAGTTCTTTTTATTCACTTTAAACCACTTTTTACAACTTTCAGGGTGCTCTATTTTATCCAGGGATTGATGAACATTTTGACTCATCACCTTAATTTGACTTTATGATTTTTATTTTATATTTTTGAGAGAGGGTCTTTCTATATAGTCCAGGTTGATCTTGAACTTGTTATGTAACTCAGCATGGCCTAGAACTGGAGATCCTCAAGCCTCAGCCTCTTGAGTGCTTAGATTACAGACTAATCCTGGTGTGGGCTACAATGCCTGGTGACTTTCTGATTCTTGGACTTTAATCATTTCTCTCTCACCTTTTCTCTGGACTCGAATATTCATGTTTTAGTGTGTCTTTGGTCTAATTACAAACTACTCAACTTCATTTTCCCATACTTACACTTAAGTCAATACCATCAAAATTTATAATTTAATTCCTAAGTATAGAGAACTACAGTTGTAGGAGAAATCTTTGTACTTGTTTTCTTAAAAAAGAAAGAAGGAAAAATAGTTAAATCATTACATTATAAAATTATGTAACAATCATTAAAGTATTTTAGTGTTGATAGATGACAGATGTGAGCAAAGTCATTTCAAAGAAGCAGCCATTATACATAGTGATGGATGCTGAGCATTGTGGTATAGGCAGAAGAGCTTCAGAGGCCAGGGGCCCTGCTGCTTCTCCAGTCCCC